GGCCACTTGAGTTGCAACTCAAGTTTTTGTAACACTGGCACAGCTGCCCAGAGATGACCTCAGAGGAGAGGTGCAGTGCTGGGCCACTGGTCCAGGTTTCAACACTGGAAACAGTCCACACAGAGCCCCCGCCCCCACCCAATGAGAGAAGTGATTCGTGCATTTTTCTTCTGAAACACAGGCGGTGGGGGTGGGGAAGGCCTTTAGAGTTGGTGGCTGAGTATTTTGGGGAGAAGTGAAGAAACAAAAACTGACAGAGTTAGGTACCATCATTTCATGACTTTTCTTCTGACAAATTTTATCTGCCTGTTGTTTTAGTTTACAAAGGATCTTACTTTCTCAACCAAGTATCTGTTCCCTAAAGAACACAGGAAGAAGATATGACATGTGTTTTCAAGTCTCCCTTTTTAAAGTAGTTATGATAAATACAGAGCCCTGTAGCTCAAAGCACATCTTTAGATACTGAAAAGCTTAAGCTGGAGCCAAGGGTCCTTTGGATGATGCTAACTGATGAGCACCGCTCAGGGGGCATCATGATCTGCAGGGAAACACTTGCCCAAAGACTACACACAGGACAGCAGAGCTTCCCAGGAAAGTGCTGTTTTTGTCTTGTCATACAGCAACCAGGAAGAGGAATGATCTACTTTTCTATGTTCTGATCAGTCTGTCTATGTCAGGACAAATTACAGCTTGGATTCTTCTTATGACTCCTTTTTTATCTTTATGATCACGGTGACTTATCATTTACAAGTACCTGAAATTCATGCTTACACTTTCGTACCATTGCAGCCCAGCCAGCTAAAACTGAATGGACCTGGACTTGGCTTGATTCTGTCTCAGATGCACCCTGTTCCCACCCCAGTGGTCCTCATGTAAGCTTGAGACAGGAGAAGTTTCAAAGTGGCTACATATACACCTGAAAAAGCAACCAGTCTTTCACCTATGGTTAAAAAAGAAACAAAGACAGTTAAAGAAAGGCCACAAAAGAAGTACTAGAGCATCTTAATCAGCTAAGGAAGATAAGTAAAGAAAGGATAAAAGTCTATTCTGCTTACCACAGAGATGTCTGTTGTGTGTAACAGGATGGCAGATTTCTATGCATATGACTTCAGATAAATTCAAGACATTGTTATGGCATAAGTCCACAGGAGGGATTACTCATATTTTTCTAGAGAGGAAACATAAAGAGCTAGGACACACATTTTGGAGCACGTCTACTGACTTACAAGCCACTATTCTACTCAATTCAATATCCACCCTTCTGGTCCAGAATGACAGCCATATGAATCATGCTGAGACATGACGGAAGGCACTCCTTAGTTGCCATCCTCTTGGGTAGGTTGTCAAGATTAAATCAAGTCAATGCAGGAAAAATATGTTTCTGTCCTTTTTATTTATTACAATTTATTCACTTTGTATTACAGCTGTAGCTCCCTCCCTTATCCATTCCCAATCCTGCTCTCCCTCCCTCTTCTCCTCTCTTGCCCTTTCCCCAGTTCACTGATGGGTTAGGTCCTCCTTCCCTTCTATCTGATCCTAGCCTATCAGGTCTCATCAGGACTGGCTGCACTGTCTTCCTCTGTGGCCTCTGTGAAGTAAGGCTGCCTCTCCCCCTCAGGGGGAGGTGCTCAAAGAGCCAGCCACTGAATACATGTCAGAAACAGCCCCTGTTCCCCTTACTAGGACACCCACTTGGATACTGTCTTCTGCTAAGGTGGCATGCACTGAGGCAGAAACCCAGTGTGTGCTCTGTATATGTGTTTGTGTGGGTGGTGTGTGAGACATTTGTGTAGTTGTGTGGTGTATATGGCATCTGTGTAGTTGTGTGGTTGTTTGTGTATGCTTGTGTGTGTGGTCTTTGTGTGTGTTGGAGAGATAGTCCATCTTTTTTAATCCCAGGGTGAGTAATTTGCAGTGTAGTCATCATAGGAACTACTGGCTCCAGTTGCCTGGAGGGGACTTTCCTTATAAAACTGAGAAGGAAAATCTCACCAAAGCTTAGGAGACTAAGAGGCAGAAAGGCCATCAGAGCGAGATGAGAACATGGAAAGCAGGAGATGCCAGAGAATCTGCTCGATTGACTCCAGAACCTGAGCTTGAAGCCAGCCAGGATGAAAGAAGGGGAAATCTAAAACCCCCAGGCAAGTGACCTGACCTGGGTGCTGAGAACAGCATGAGGGCTGTGCAAGATCCGTGGTGCCAAGACCCCAGCCACGAAGCCTGCAGCACATCGGAGACTAAGGGGGGAAAAAATGAATAGAAGAGCTAGACCCCGAGGCACGTGAGATGAGGTTGCTCAAGGCTCTCAGTTCACAGAATAAGAAAAGGAGTGGGGAGGGGCACTTCCCTGCCCCTTTTCTGGATGGGACATTTCCTTGCCTGCTTAACAATTTCCCATTAGAGGTAACTTCCAGTGGCAAAGGTCCGAATGACCTAAGCTATCAGGGACAAGTTTAACAGGGAACAGGGAGCCGTAATTCAGAAGTCAGGCACATCATGCAGATAGCAGACCACAGACACACATTTGGCGTTTGCTATTAGGTCCGTCCCCGCCCCACAGACACGGTCACACTCCAGGCTCCGGGTGTACTTGGGCTGCAAAGTCAAGACTGCTGGTATCTGGGAACTTTCATAGATAAGATTTCGTTTCAGAATTAACTCTCCAGTGCTGTACATTGCAGCAGATAGACACACGCCCCTTCCTGTCCCCCTCCCCGTTCTGCAGGCCTGTGGGTGATCGCTGCGTCCCGTCCCCGTCCCCGGAAAGACACCTTGCAACATATGGGCTCCTCCATGCGCAAATGCCTGAAGAAGGAGTGAGGAACTCGCAGACCCCAGATGCCCCATCACTTCCGGGCATTATTCCAGTGACTGGAACACAACAAATGCTGGGAAGCAACTGGTTGACTTTGTGACCTGATTTTCCCGGCAGGGCACTGAAAGCTCAGGCCACCTGCGTGGCTCGGAAGCTTGGGACACCTGGCATGGAATTTGTGGAACCAGCTTGTCTCGAAGCCCTGTGACCTTGTTTCCTCCGCAGCTGTGCGCAGGCATTAGCACAGCGTCAGCCAAGTGACCTAAGCTAGAAGAGACTTGGAATTCTAGAAGGTCTCTTCTGGGTTTTTGGATGCAGAAAAGGATTGCCTCTGAACAGAGCCGCGTTAAAAGAAAACATTACTGAGCTAATGGCAAAAACTAGCTTTGGGCATCCTTCCTCTACTACCCTCTCGCCAAAACGGTCTGTGCACAGAATGACAGGCACAGCCAACCCCGGAACTAAAGTATCTGACTTCCTGGATCGCCTAGGCAATAGCTCAGCCATTGGGCTTGACTGTGTGTGTAAGATACAACCGAACCAAATAGAATAAAGAAGGGACTGCTGAAGTTGGTCCAGACAATTTATTCTGTCTGAATCCCCACTGATAATGAAGCTGTTTATGTGAAAGTGGAGGTTCCAGAAGGATCGGATAGAATAGGAAAGCAAATTCAACTCCCCCCTCCAAAGTTAGTTCCCATAATGGCATGTGCTTGCTTGTTTTTACTAGGGTTTTGTTCCAGTTGTACACTTGTGTCCCAAGCACAGTTTAATCTGCCAGACACTGTGATTTAAGCATCACCTAAGGACCATTTTCTACTCATCCCAAATATCATCCTCTGTTCTTGCTATTCAGTTTTCTTCACGACTAATCTTGTTTTTTTGTTTTTTTTTTTTTGTTTTTTTTTTTTTTTTTTAAGAAGTGCTAGAAGTAATTTAAAGACACCAGAAACTTCACCGGCTTCACAGACGACATAAATAGGCCACATTTACACTGACCAATGTGAACAATGATACAGGATAACACCAGTCCAAATGAGCAGAGGTAGAACTGCTAAGTTTTGGACATCCTTTTTCACCTACACTTTGGGTGGGTTGAGTGTGCTAACCTTACCAAACCACTGTGTGGGAAAACTGAAAGCAGGCCAAGGTGGCCAGCTTTTCACCAGCCTTGCTCACACTTGCTGAATGAATTTACTGCCCCTCCAGCTCCCTACTCTAAATGCCACTTGCTGCCTGGTGGCCTTAAAACACCAAAGGCTTCAAAATCCTTTAGGAAAAGTTACGGGAAAGCCTTGCAATGAAGGCCTTGTGGGAAGTTCCCACTAGAGATCTATCTGAAAATATCCTTCAGACACAAGGGGGAAGACAACAGAATGTGAGAGGGGAAAGGTGCTAGCTCAGCCTCTTGCAGAAATAAGTCTGTTCCTGGGAGCAGAGAGGTCGAGGATGCTACCTACCTAACTTCCTAGGTCATTTGGTTTTTTCTTTCTTTCTTTCTTTCTTTCTTTCTTTCTTTCTTTCTTTTCTTTCTTTCTTTCTTTCTTTTTTAACAGTGCACATCACAGGTATATACAGATGTTCTCTAAGAATTGCTGACAGTAGCTGAGGATGACAGCGCGGTTCTTCAGCATTTTTTAGTCTCAGGATCCCTCCCAATTGTATAGGTGCGGAAGCTGTGCTCTTTAATACACTATCATCAAACCACAATCTTTAAAATCCGATTACCAGACACATTCTCTACAGTGTCCTTGATGGATGACAGAAGCTGAAAGTTCTAGAATGCAGGATGTCCGTTGGTGGAAGCATAGATCCTAAAGTGAGCTTTAAAAATCGGTTCTCCTACACGCTGCCCAGAAATTGGTCACGTGGGTAGAGACAAAACACCTCCCTTCTGGAAGGGAAGAGACAAAAGTCATGACTATTTGTATGGCAGTTATCACTTATATATAAGCAGTTTGTCCTTGATCCCTAAACCCAACACCTTTCAGGTAAAGAATTAGGCTCAAAACTGGCTTGTAGAAAATAAACGCAGAGGAGTATCTTCACTTCTTTTCAAGGAATCAGTGAGAGTACGTTAACTACACAAAGGGCTATGCTGACCTACAAAGAACTTTTAAAACTTCCCAAATGTTTGCTTTGAAGAAAATAGTTATTTATTGTCAAAGCATCCAACATACCTGGATAAACTATAAAGTTTAATAAATCTTTTGGGGATAAAAGAAACACATAACTATTCAGACTCCATCTCACTGGCACAAAATTACACTTTGTATTAAAAGGAAATACATATTTACCTAGCTGTTGGCATTCTTCACTGAAGTCCATAATCACTTCATGATACATGCACTTCCCCCTGCAAACGTAAACGGAACGGCGACCCCCTTTTTATCCATTTTATTTTTGTAAGAACACAGCTGTCATCAGGAAATGCAGAAAGCAGCCCACCTTCCTTCGTTACTTTATATCTAAAATAAATTTTGTCCTTACATATAATTATTACCTCTAAACCATAAGAGCTTAATAATTTAAGTAGAAACGTATGACAAATGCATCAATATGTTGCAATATATGACATTTTTTTTTTAAATGTACCTTTGCTTTTGGGAAAGTGAAAACTCGTGCATTCAAAAAGAAAACCCCCTCTAAACAACCCACCCAATCCACAATCCACCATCCTGTCCCGTGTGTGTGTGTTTGTGTGTGTGTCCCAAGTTAGACATTTGGATAATGAGGCTCCTGGCGAGGGGAGGGACCTGTATGTGCACGTGTTCGGTTGCAGTAAGTGTTTGGGGGCAGAAGGAAGCGGTGGATGTCCTCGCGTGTCTGCTCCTGCAGGTGGCTTGACTTGCGCGCGCCCAGGCGCGGAGGAACCGGAGTCCTTTTACGCATCAATTATGCGAGGTCATGTGCCTGGAGAGGTGGTGACGCTCCCTGAAGGACTCGTTGCAAATGGGGCACTTGAGTTTCTCCTCCCGCCGCCGCTTCACCAGGGGCTCCATGGCGTACTCCTTTTTGTGGTGGGACCGCATGTGGTACACCAGGTCGGAGGTCATGCGGAAGGAGGCGTTGCACTTGGCGCACCAGTTCTGCGCGGGTAGACACAGCGAGGTGAAGGAGGGCGGCAGCAGGGTGAGCGCCGAGGGCAGCTGCAGCTGCAGGGGCCCCGCGGCCGCCGCCGCCGCCGCCGCGGCGGCAGCAGCGGCCGAGCTCTTGGGCCAGAAGGCGGTGGCGTAGAGGAAGGGGCTCTGCTTGGGCAGGCCGCCGCCGCCGCCGCCCCCGCCGCCAGCCAGGGGCCCGCAGGCTCCGTTCAGGTCCGCGGCTGCGCCCTGCAGCTTCACCGCCAGCGGGTCGGCGGCGGCGGCGGCCGGGTAGAGTCTGGTGGGCCCCACGCCGTCGGCCGGGTGGCACGGCTCGAGCGCGCCCAGCTTCTGGCCCAGGACCAGCGGGGACAGCTGCGAGAAGGAGCGCGCGGGCTGCGAGAAGGCGCTCTTGCGCTCGTCCGGGGAGGCCGCCTGGCCGGCCCCCGCGCCCCCGGAGCCCCCCGAGGTCCCCGCGCCCCCCAGCTGCGGCACCGAGGTGAAGGCGCTGCCCCGCGCGGGGCTCCCGCCCTCCAGCCGGCCGGGCCGCGGGGCCAGCAGCTTCTCGGCGCCGCCGGGCGACCCCGACGAGGGCGTGGCCGAGCCGGCGCCTCCTCCTCCGCCTCCGGCGTCGGGGTCCTCGGCTGCGCCCCCCGCGCCGTCCGCGGCCGCCTCCTCCTGCAGGCCCGCCGCGCGGCCCGCCTTCTTGACCTCCACGAAGGCGCTGCGCTTCGCCTCGCCGGTCTCCGGGCTGGGCGGCGCGAAGAGCCGGCCGTTGTCCTCCAGGCCGAAGTAGCTGCCCGCGGCGCGGTACTGCTGCGGCGTGCACACCAGCTCGTCCTCGGAGGCCGCCAGCGGACGCTCCGAGAAGCGCGCGCGGCCGCCCTCCGCCGCCGCCTCCTCCGGGAACCGCCTCTTCCCCTTGCAGCCTCCCGGGGCGACGCCGTCGGGACTCAGCTCCGCCTCCTGGTGGCCGGGGCCGCCGACGCTCGGGGCCGCCGAGCGGGAGTTTTCCAGTTCCCGGGCCAGGTTGTGGAAGTCCGTGGACGGCTTGGCGCTGCCGCCCCCGGCGGCGGCCGGTGGGTTGCCGGCCTCCGGGGACGGCGCCGGGTAGTGGTGTATGGGCCCGGTTTTGCAGAACTTGGGGCCCGGGACCAACGCTGCCTCCTGTTGCTGCTGTTGCTGCTGCGGCGGCGGCTGCTCTTTGCCGCCGCCGCCGCCGTGGTCCTTGGTGCCCACGCCGCCCCTTGGCTCGTCCTGTGAGTTCGCATCAGCGTTGTGAAGTCTCTTGGGGCAGCGGAATCGCAGATGCGCCACGTAGGGGAACTCAAACTGGAAACGTTGGCTGCATTCCAGGCATGTGAAAGGGGACGACCCTGCTCAGTGAGCGAAACACACACACACACACACACACACACACACACACACACACACGCCACATGGTTAGTCAGTATCGCCTCCAGGCCATTTAGCCATCATCCCCATAACAAATCCACTTTATCTTTCCGGGCCGAGTGCCCGAGAAAAGCATAGACTCTCTGACTATTTGATGTAACTTTCTTTCTTGATTTGGTGCAAGCTCATTTATCAAGGTAGGCGCTCCCCAACTTTTCTTTCCCCTTCTGTCCCAGCTCCATTCCGGACAGCGCCTCGGAAGCTTCGTCTATCCTCCGAGGTGCCCAAGAAAAGCTTTTCTTAGTCCCTGCTGAACCCCTGCGTTTCTCCTCAGCTAGCGAAGGACCCACAGGCAGGTCGGGAGCCAACCTACCGTTCATTTTGTGGGATCTAGATGGGTAGAGCAAGAGCAACTCAGTCAGTTCTTTCCCGTACCAAACTAGTAACTCCTCATCTTTGGCAATTCTGCGCAGAGAGCGGTAGAACAGCTGTCCGTTTTTTATGTAAGCCTCGAGATTCTGTTCTTCCTTATCTCTGGCTGACTGGACCAGCCGCAGCCACATGAGACCTTCTGAGGAACCATTTGCCGCCGAAGTGTCTACCTACAATGTTTATGGACGACAAGAAGGGAGGTCCACGTGAAAGGCGGAAACCAGGATTATTTCTTCTGTTTGGGTTTTGTTCATTCCAAACAGTTATCCGAATCCAAGTCTGCAAAAGTTGGCCAAAGTCGGAGCACAGCCCTATGTTTGTAGTCAACGGGAGAGAGAGCCGTCCTTGGCGAGGTTAGGTCAGCCTTATAGATCAGTCCCCCAGAACTTCCTTTTCAGTTACCCCTCATCACAAGAGCCGAGGGAATTTCGTGTGTTTCAGAAGTGAAAGGCAAGTTTGGGTCTTAGCAATTGTTCTATGGCACTCACGCCCATCCTCCTGACTGTGGCTTGAAGCACTAATAGGTTTTCTTCAAAAAGAAACACTAGGAAGTAAGAGGCCTGTTACAAACACAAACGCGCATTTAACGGTGCTTTGCTGCCAGAGCAATTGCCGTTTTTATTTAAACACAAACTCTGAACACTAGCTAATGTTAATTTGCAGAAAGCGATATTTCAGGACACGAGGAGACCTCCTCGATTAGAAAACAAATATACCTGAAGCTTGAAAAAGTGCTCTCAGGGAGTGCTTAATATGTAAATTGTCCCAGCCCTAGAGAGGTCTCCTTAGCAATTTAGGAAACCCTAATCTGGGGAACCTAAAACTTGGGCACTTATTTAGGTATCCTTAGTGTTTCAAGTCAATTTTTGTCTCCCCCCCCCCCCCTTGGAAAAACCAGTTGACAATTTGAGTCTAGCTTTTCTTTTCTAATGTTTGTCGTGTTCACTCTGATTGCTCAGATCATTCCATCGTCCTTAGGGTAGCGACTTGGTCCTTCCCAACAGGAAATTACCCTCAGATCTCGATGAGACTTACCCGGAAAATGTAAGGTACCGTCCTCTTGTCTGTGGACTTGAGCGCGATGAAAGCGATGCTGTCATACAGCGAAGTGTGGCTCAGCACACAGGGACCGAAGATGGCGTTCTCTGGGATGTCACAGGTTGTGTATACACTGGTGAAAATATCCGTCAGGCATTGTTGGACAGCCTTGGCATCTCCGTCCCAGATGCCTCTCTGGATGCCCGAATCCTCCATCACTGGAGACAGATACACAGGTCAAGAAGAGTTGTTACTGACTTTTCTGCTGTGAACTTCGGCAGAGTGCTTCCGCTCCTAGACATATTTTCTTTGCACTTGCCGGCTTTTTTACATAGCTTCTATTTTAAAAATAAAGCAGATCAATCTGGCATGTTTTAAAGATGCCAACTTCGAAGTATTCTTTCCTTTTAAAGAACAGGAACGGGAAGCATGGGAGCACATTTCTTGCTTGAGAAAAAGAAAATAAAGAACTTGTGAAGACCAGAACAGGCTGTGTCTGTATTACCTTGGGATGCAGAGAGTGGGGGTGTTGGGATGAAGGTAAGTTTGTGTGTGTGTGTGTGTGTGTGTGTGTGTTTAAACCAGCATATGTAGATTTTTTTTGACTGAATACAATCCCCCCCCCCCTCAAAAAAAAAAAAAACCCTTCTAACCCTTGGGAGAAAGTCCTGTCCTATGTACAGAACCTGGTGCCACGATCTAATTTTCCTCTTCTTCTTCTAACAAGGGGAGCAGCCTTAGCTAGCAGGCGGGAACAGCGGAGCATGGCGAATGGATTTCAAGTGGAGTGTCAGGGCCACTAATTCTGTGTCAGCTAACCTTTCTCTGCAGCCTACAAGAAGGGACGCATGTCTGCTCATTACCATAATCCAACACTGTCCCTCGGAGGCTTTAATTAAAAGCAGCAAGCAGAGGTAATTATTTTTTTTCTCGACATGCTTATTTATGGATGAGGTTGAATCCCAGTTACCTTGTTATACATGAGGGTGGATTGAGTCGCTTGTGGCCCATGAAGCGAGCAGGTACAGGGCAGGCCTGAAGTGTCCCCTGCCTGAAATACTGTGCGTAATGACTGGTGAATTCTCGCTTCCCCGGATACCACCCTGTTTAGGCAAGAGGGGGCAGCCCTGCCTGAATGGTCCTCGGTGGGCTCTCCAGCTGTTTAATCCGCAGCAATTTAGAAAGTAATGCCCCAGCGGAGGGCTCTCTATTAAGCTGTCATACAGGGACATTTTCCTTCCTCGGCCACTGGACACCCCCAACAATATTTGGTTAGCACTTAAAGAAAGCAATGATTTAAGATATTCAAACTAGTTTTTAGTTAGCCATGCCATTTTTCTGAGGGCTGTAACGATTCTGCTAAGTTGATACCCCCCTCCCCCATAATATCAATATTGACAGTGATTTCTCTGTGTTTATATGACTTAACTGTCAGGGGAAGAATAGATATTACTCTTTATTCTTGTAATGCTAGCTTCTCATTAAAGAGCAATACTGGTGATGTGTATTTTTACCAACATTTACTAACCAATTAGTCTTACAAATGTCATAAAATATAATGCCTAAAACTTCGGTCAGCCGATTTCCTATTCATTCTTCCATATGCCCAAGTGAAAAGTATATTTTCCAGACAGTGGAAATCAAGAAAATAGCCACAAAATAGAAAGTTTAGGATGCCACACTCTGTTCCTGGACCCGTCCTGTCCCCTTCTGATTTCTAATTGCAAATCAAACACAGGTTCCCTTAGCTCCCTTTCCGCACAATCCCACTCTCACCTCCCATTTGCCTACATCTCAACGTTCTGTACCTTGATTTCTGCATTGCTTTTGAGAGTATCTTTCACAGAAGCGTTTCATTGTGACGGGAGGTCTGTCACCACTTCGGCATCAGCGGAGACTCAGTCATTAAAATGCAGCTGTATCTAACAATACAGCGAAAAGGTCCCACGCCCGGGCTCATAGGTCCGCGCGGCCACGGTGGCTGCCACGTCTCAAACCACCCACAATAAGAGATGGGCAAGACCCCCCCGGGCTTTTAACGTTGTAGCCTCTCCCAGCCCTGTGCTCAACTCTAGGCCCCGGGTTCTCTTCCTCCGCCTATCTTCTAGGGAAACCCAGATCCGGTTGGGCTCGCTGAAAGCCGATCTCTGCGGTGGCTGCTGCCGTAAGCTCTCCCTCCACTCCGGGCTGGCATTGTCTGGCTGCCGCCAGCTCCCAAGTCCCATGCTTCTCCAGCAAAGTGCTCCCACCCGCTCCTCCCTTTGTATAATCTTATTGGCAGCGGAGATAATATTCAGCGATCGTTTCCCTCCTATATTCTAGATAATGAGGAGGAAGGGGGTAATTTTTTTTTTTTATACACTCTTTCCACTCAACCTGCCCTCTTCCCATCCCCCTCCCACGTCAATGCAAATAGACTTACCAGAAATAAGGTCAGGACGGAGTCGCCCAAATAAGGCCACCTGGAACCGACGGGATGAAACCCAGTTTTCTTTCTGCCTATTACATTAGTGCATCTCCGTGTCAAGAGGTGTCAGTGTCTGTCCAGAGAGAGAAGAGAGATGCAGCTAGGTTAGGAGAGAGAGAGAGAGAGAGAGAGAGAGAGAGAGAGAGAGAGTCGAGTTGTACAGATGGACCCGATGCAATGACTGACTGGCACGCAGACACACACTTTTTGTTTGCTGCACATAATCTGCCCAATGACGCGTGACAGCCCACGTCCCCTCCCTTTAACTCTTGCTGGTCTGGGAGCTCCCTCCGGCGCCGCAAGCCTGGTTTCTCTGGCCTGCCCGCTCCAGGCAGATCCTGAGCTCCTTCCCTAAGTGGCAAAGCTTCCCCAGAGGAGCCTGGCCCGCCTCCTCCTGCAGCTGGGTCCCACTGGGACTCCTGGGGTGCCAAAATCCGTCTCAGGCTATGGAAGGAAGGTGTCAGAAGAAGCAGAGCGGCTCTTTTCCGTTTTGCTAGGTAGGCACCCGGAGGACCTAGGATAAGGAGCTGGCTACCTTACTACTCTCATATGTCCCCTCCTATGTCCAAAGAAAGGGTGAGGATTCGCCCGGCCCGGCGAGATTCTCTGGCCATTGAGCCGCAGTTGATCTGTGAATCTAGTGCCCTAGAAGGGGACAAACTGGCTCTCACAAAAGGCATTCGCCCTACCTAGCAGGAAGTCCCCTGTAAATTTGGGGGACCAGAGGGATGCTCTTTGCTGGGAACTTGGCTTAGCCCTTTCCCGCCCTAAGGGATAGGGTGAGGTGCTAAATCTGGAATGCTGCCAGACTTCCTAAAGGTGGTTTTTAAGCCCAGGACATGGGTGGGAACGGGCCAGGAGGCCGTTGCTGGGAAGATTCGAGTCCTTGGACTCAGGTGCTAAAGCTTTTCACCCTCCCTATTGTGTACCGTGTGGTTCCTCGAGGGACCTCATAATGGGATTGTAAGACCTCGGGGTAAAGGAAGGGTAGTTCAAAGTGGTGGTTTTTTTTTTTTTTTTTTTTTTTTTTTTAATATAACTGAGATGGGCTCTCAAGAGTCTTTCACATCCAGCCGCTGATGGAGGAGTGCATAGAGTCTGAGGACTGAGGCTGTCTCGGGAGCCTCGTTTTTGTGCGCTAAGCCACTTAGAGGCGCTGGCTCGTCCTTTGCGCAGCAGCTGATGCTAATGACTTGAGAGGTCTTTAACAGCCACAGAGTTTACTCCTTCTGCGGGGGCCACAACACAATGACGCCTGGGGCTCTCGGTCTGTTTTTCTCCGGTAGGCTCTCTAGTCCTAAGGAAATAAAAGGCTTTGAGTGGCACAGACGATCCCTCAATTCCGACCCCCCACTCTCACTGAATTCAACTGGGCAATAGGTCAGGTTTAGTATGAATCCAATTGTATAGTTTACTCGCTAAAGGGCAAGAGGCAGGGCCAGAATTTAAGAAGGGGACAATCTCTGTCCCTGCCTCACAGGGTGAGCATATGAAGGTTTGGTAAAGAGCTGTTATGGGTATGATCTCCCGCAGCCAGCTCTTAGACCTCTCTGTCTGGAACCTGGAGGCCAGCAAGACATCAAGGTCTTTCTTGCCACCAGGGAGGAATGGGCACTGGAGAAATGCAGGGAATTTCCAAGAAGTGAACTTCTTTGGCGTCTTCTCATTTCTGGTCACCTACAAAGAAAGCTGCCAATCCTGATCAGAGAGAATCCCTGTCTAAAACCAAGCTGGGGCTGGAGGCATCATAGGTTGGGAGAAAGGTCAAAATTCTCGTCTTCCTTTCAGGTTGACTAGTGAGCCTTGAAAGAAAGTTCTAGAAGAGTACCTCCTCTTCAACCTAGAGCATCCTTTCTCCTGTGAAAGTTTGTGCAGCTTAAAATAGCCTGGTGATGGAGCTCGGTAAAATAGCAGACTTCAGATATCTCTACAGTCTGCAGCTGTATTTATGACTCCATTGACCGCCTTGTTCCCTCCCTACTCTTCTCCTGCCCTGTTTCTCTTTCAAACACAGCATCCCTGTATTGACACCTTGGAGAGTTAGAAATGTTGAAAGAGTTGTCTCAAATTAGGGAAACAAACATCCCAGGTAGAAGAAGTGGGATATTTAAGTGAATGAAGAGAAGGTAGAAGAAGAAAGATCAGAAGGCCCAGACACATGCAACAGAAAGGCATGATAGGAAATCAGTTCCAGGGCTAGAGAGGTGGCTCAGCCGTTAAAGGGCTAGGCTCACAAGCAAAAACATAAGGAAACGGGTCTAAGAGCTGTGGTGGTGTAGAAACCAAGGCCTGATTCAGGTGATGCAAGCCTTAAGGGAAGGAAGGCCTGCTTGGGAGAACTTAGTTCCATTAATGAGTTGAACAGAACAGAACAGTCTGCTTTGGTTATCGTTATCGGACAGAAAACACAAAGTTTGTCTTTTCCAGAAAGCATCATCTGCCCATGCATTTTTAACAATGTTTGTCCATCCAGTAAAAACCAGTGTACCCACTCCACTTCAGAAGGTAGGCTTCTACAAGACTAAATATACTTGGAGGGTGTTTTTCTTGTGTCTGACTTTTCTTTCCCCATTTTTATGTCTCCTTTCTCCTTACCTATCTCTGCTTAAGTACTGAATTTTTGTTTCTGCCTTGAGTGAAATAAAGAATGCTTCTGACATTTAAGATGGGAGCTCATGAGCTTGATTTTCAAATCTGAAACTAGAGGGAACCCAGAATTCACAACACCAGAAAAAAAGAAAGGCCTCCTTCCTCAAGTTCTAACACATGTTTCATTTCATTTTCCACATTCTAAGTAAATTTCCCTTCCTGCTTTTAGTTAAAGTACCTAAATTTAAAAATCCCTCACATTTTATGGATCTGAGCTGATCTTTTGTTTGAAGACCAAATGGCTGATATATCCAAACAAACAGTTAAGCTGAAAGGCCTATGTCCAAGGTTTCCAGTATTTTAAGTGGTACACATTTTATTTGGTCATATAAATGGTCAAATGACAATCATTAATAGAATATTAATGAACTCCACAGATTATTTTTATTTTTCTCTAGCAGTGCATGAGCTAAGATGGTGCCCAAACTAATTTGAAATCACTTCCTGGATTTCAGTGATGCTAAAATGAAGAGTTGAGATATTTATTCAGCCTCAGACAGCACTATAAAAATATACCACTCGATAGTTTTATGCAGTGACACAGAACACTGGGTTTATGAATGTATTTGGAGCTCCTTCCTTGGGGTTTATTTCCAATTAAATGACTAGAAGTGCAACTATAATGAGGAAGAACAGCCACACTGCTCTGCTTTAGCAAGGGAAAGGTTCTTATAGTTGTGGCAAAAACAAAACAAAACCAAAAAACCCCCACATATGTTGACTACATCACTGTTCTTTTGGAAGGGAAAGCTAGAGAGAAGTTGATGAATGATAATTGAAGTCATTCCTTTAATGACCTCAGAGAAAGGGTGAAGAAAGGGGAAAAAAAAAGAAATTTGTTTCTCCCTTGTGCTTAACAATCAAGGCCTCAAATATCTTAAGTTCTGTAACAGGAGGAAAACAAGGACATCTCTGCGGAGGACTCACTTAAGGACTGGCCGCGGGTGGTAAGAACATTGATTTCCTACGGGTGGCTAGGCCTTGGTTTATATCTCTAATTCGATGGCCAAAGCAATCTGTCTGCAGTCTTGGTGGTCAACAGAGTTTGGCAATTACTCTTACAGATGAAGGGAAAATAGTTGTTAGAGATGAGAGGACATTCACAGTAGAAAGTGGTAGCTCCTCCCAGGCTGATTAAGTTCCCATATGGATGTCTGTGGAAGAGGTTGTTGGAGTTAGACAGAAAAAAGAAAACAAACCAACAACTTCCACGTACTGAGTGACCTTATCCTCATCACTTGGAATAAGCAACTTGCTAAGGGAAAAACTTGACTGATGATTTGTACTTGGAAGCAGAGCACCTTTCAGGGAATTTTTGATTCATTCTTTTTCTTTTTCCTTTGGATGGGAGAGTGAGCAGATGAGACCGGGTTTCTCTCTGTAGCCCTTGCTGTCCTGGAACTCACCCTGTAGGCCAGGCTTTCCTCAAATTCACATATCCATCTGCCTCTGCCTCCTAAGTGCTGGGATTAAAAACATGCATCACCACACCTGGCTAGCATTTTCTTTTATTCTAAGAATGACACCTGGTGGGCTTAAAGAGAGTGTGGGAGATTAATCTGATTATTTGTTCATCGAAGGTTCACCAAGATTGAGGGCAAAATTTGTACTTTACAAACACATATGTAAGGTCAGTTTGGGTCTATTCCTTTCTTAATTCACTGGGTGGTTATCTGAAAAAAAAAAATGTGCTTCTTGGCCTGGTCTTGGGAAACCCAGAAACTCATGAGATGTATAACTCTATAGCTTGTCAGGAAGAAGTTCATATTCCTGACTCTTTTTCTCTTCAGTCAAAAAGAAAAGAAGAAGGAAAGACATTCTTTTTCCTTTTCTTCTCACCTTCCAACTGTCCTTAGTGCTGCTGTAACTGTAGACACTGCCACTGTTGGTGTCATTGCTATCACAATCTACCCTTCTAAAGTTTAAATCTCCCTATGAGGAATTCTGGATTCCAATTACACCTTTATTGGGATTACCTGAGAGTTAGCTAGGGTTTAAAGCACTTGTTATTCTTTCCCTGCTCTGTCGTCCTCTCCTCCATTGGAGTGGTGGCCTACTGGCTCCATGGCTTCTGAATAGAAGTTCTAGACGGGCTAACAGGCTGAAATGATACACTATTGATCTAAAAAACACAGCTTCACAGTCAACTGGATGGGGAGGATGTGTGAATAAAGTCTACTATATTGACCCCTGGATGTTGCCAGTCCTTGTGCCACACTCCAGATGAATGTCTGGAGATCTAACAAGGAATAGCTAGTTTTCCATCACATTTGATTCTTGAGCTGTTCCCAGACTCTGACATCACTGGCCCTCAACATAGCTATACAAGTTGAGTGGAGCAAATAAGCTCAGCACTCCTCACTAAGGCCAGGAAGAGTCGTGTCATGTAGCACCTGACAGTCCAGAGGGAGACTTTTGATGAGG